TCGTTTGTTTTATTCTGGCCTGGCTTCAAAATATTCTAAACATCTTGAAATTTGAGAATATGTTTTGTTTTTCTCAAAAATTACAATTTAAATAGCCAATGGTCACTACTTTATACGCATGACGAGTATACTCGTCAATACACAAAATCGTGCCACTTCTCCATGACGAGTATACTCGTCAATCACAGTTAACTGGTTAAAGAAAAAAAAACTGTTTTTTATTTAATTCAAATCTTGCATTAATTTTGGGACACGCTTTATTATTAGAATAATTAGAAGAGCAAAGTCTTTCTAGTAAATCGATCAACCAAGCTACAATCAAATTATTATGTTCCTGGCGTGAGAATCCAGCTCGTTTGTGATATTGACGATCCCCATCGGCTATGCACCTAACTTTCAACTATGCGAGTGATTCTCGCCATCGGATTCCGAATGACCAAGTTAAACTCGCGCGCTTTGGCGCACCAAGTTGGTGCAGATGTCTCACAGGTAAATTTAATCTTATCCTGACTAAATCCTAACTGCGTGTCCGAATACTGAAGTCCTACCGTGTCCTCGCCTTGTAAGCTCTTCTGGACGAATTAGTCAAGTTGTGTTACATGGCGCTGGATTAAATCGAAATGCGCTGCTCTCAAGGACCGACGAACTCCTAATGTAATCGGATTTCGAATACTGGAAAAGTAACGTAAGTATTATGACTACATGATGTGGTCCATGGACCCTGAATAAAACAGTAACAGACAGCAGCGCAAAAATCTTTCTGCCTCGAAGTCATTTATAATTTTCATTTTGCATCATCGTGATTGTCTTCTTGCTTCCAAGGAGTTTGTGTTTTCAGGATTCTACCATTAGCCAATTTCTACATTTGCTGGCGTGTTCTGAAATAACGTGTGAAATACAAAGGCAGACCTGATCCCCATGACCCTTGGTATATTTCACTCTCTTTCATGTATGTGTATTACAACCCACTTCCACTGTGACGTCATCCTGTTAACATTATTAAAGGTTCACAGACCGTAATTTCTACTGCTGCAGGTGGCTTGATCCATTCTGAGAAATATTATAAATCTTCGGGAAAGCTTTACCCAGCTGTAAATTGACTTGGAAGATCAAAAGTTTCTCACAAGTGTATTTTCCAAATAGTTCACAAAGATGAAAAGCAGAAAGAAAACTTTGCAACTTCGGCAAACAGATTGAGGGGGAACGTTACGTATAAATGCAGGACACGCCTGATCCTTTGTCCGAGATATTTTTTTTGTACGTTTCATGTGTAGCCGTCGATTGAAACATTTTCACCTTGGCATTTCTACTGGAATTGTTACGTAATTTTTATTGCAATAAAATGTCTGCTATTAGAAAAAACGAGTAAGACAGGAAAAGAGACGAGAGAAAACAAAGGAAAGGACATTTTTATTTCTGAATAATTTTTTCGCGATGGGTAAAAACCGTACGTACGTAACAGAATGAAAAAATGGCGAGAATAAATCTCGTTGAAAGCATTTGAATATATATTTGATTAGTATTGGGCTGCAACCATGGCCTGGGTAATATTGCAATGACCTACGTGTATTCACGTACTGTAACAGAAGTACGACACGGAGTATGCGAGGAATGTGTCTATGCATTCGTTTACGTTGTTTCCGTTCCACATTAGGATATATTCCTGCCGGTAGAGAGGTAGTGGCATTATATCGCGCAACCTAATTTTCCTGAAAATTAGTTTCGGACGTTTACCCATTAAAACATAGATCGCATTAAAAGTAAGTTATGAGGGAATTCGTATAGCTAACGTATTTTGTTGCTCTTGCTAAACCACTTCCTATCCTGCGAGATTGCGTTTCGTGGGACATTGGTGAAGGCCCTGGTTTCCATTTGATACGTTAATTAATTTTCTATAAATAGAATTATATTGACAGCTCAAAAGTATTCCGGCATAAATAATCTCTCAATACGAAATTGTATGAATAATTTAAAAGACATCTTAAGACTTATTGAAAGAAGAGAACTTTCTATAGAAATTCGGAATAAAAGAATCTCAACACGCTTGCCCATCAAGCATTCTAGCTTCGCGTTGAAGTCGAAGGAGATTTCCAGAAATGTCTCCGAACGATAGAAAAAGATTTCGTCTTATTTTTCTAAAGGTGCGGCCGCTTTATGTATAAAGCGATTTGCAGCGGATCTTTTCGTCGAATTGTCAAACGAAAAGTCGTGAATTCCAGAATACTGCCGTTTCCGTCTCTAATGGCTTTTTAAAGTCGCACCTAAATTCAGGACACCAAAGCCGCAACACCTTCTGAAATTGTATTGTATCATTCATGATTGTCCGATATTCGACACAGACTTTCATGACCTTGCTTATAGTATAATATACCTTGAACTTGAGCATGTGACCATAAGTAGACACACATCGGTGAGATAAACGATCGCAATATACCAATCACAAAATAGTAAACTATTACCACTAGGAGTCGCAACCGCAATATCGATATGTTTGATTTATTCCCAGGCTACTATATATTGCTTTGCTAAATTTATGCTGTAGGTAGCTCTATTCTGCAAACCAAATGCTGATGCACCTGATGCTGTACTACTTTGTAGACTGCCATGGTAAGCTCAGCCGTGCTCAAGCGGAACATCTTTGTCATTGCGAGATACACAATGCCAGCGAAGCAAGATATCAGAATTGCGATGCTGACAGTGGATATGTTCGATGCAAAATTTATCTCTCATTGACATCGACTATGATTCAAATGAAAAGCAATTAACAATAGGAAACAGCGGAACGACAACTAACTGTGTATCTACGTTCAAACTTGAAGCTGGTACAACTCTGTCTTTCTTGCATCTATTCTCGTACAGTTTTTCTCTGTTTTCCTCTAATAGTACTACGGTATTGCTTCGCATTTATTTCGCTCTCTCGTCTCTACCAGAACACTACACTAATTCCTCCTAGCTTACTCCGTGCTACATGAGTCCTATACACGTCTAAGCACCGTAGATTATAATAATTCCGAATCGATCCCACCAACAGCAGCAATTCAGCTTCGCATTTTGCTGTCCGATGTTAAATTACGAAGAGGGTCAATTTGAACGCCACTAGACCCTAAAGTTAATATATGCACAAACCATTAAACTTGCGTAGTGATACTTCGTATGTCTCGTAGAAACACTTGTTCTACGTACAAGTAAATGGCGTACGACAAATTTACCGTAAATTTTCTTTTTTACTGTCCAATTCGACCCTTTCCATTTCCAACGCGGAATCCCATTTAATTCCTCGTGGTAAAAGAAAAAAAAAAGAAGAAAATATGCAAAACAAAATTATACGTCCAGTAGCGACTGTACTGGTAGCGCTATCTACATAGATACGTATTTCTCGTACTCGTCGGGACTCGTTTTAAACGGGCCTGCAAGGGAGCGTCGCATTACGAGAGAGATTCACGCCGACGCCCACACACCTCTAAATATTTAGAACGTCGCAAGAGCAGATGTCAGGTCACGCAATTAACGGCCCGTAGCTTAAACTTAAGCCTGTAGGAGAGAGAGAGAGTCGCTCTCGTTAAGTTTCCGAAACGACAACGAACAACTGCCGACAGTACCGTAACGAGAGTCCGTTTAAACAGCAAGAGCGAGAAAGACAGAACACGTCTTATAGGAACCGTAGGATTGAAGTAAGACCAAGTGGAAGTGAGCCAGCGAGACTAAAGTAAAGAAATCGTGAAACTAAGGAATATTCAAGAAACCTTAAAAAATCACAAGAATTGTAATTATGCGTGGAAGACCTTGTCGTTTTGCAGGGTGCATCATCCTGGTATTGTCGCGTATAACTTTGCCATTTTTATAACTTTTCTGAAGTCGACAAGACCATGATGGAATCAGCGTATTCGTCGGTTCTTGGCGAAGGAGACTTTTGACGTATCACTACAATGCACGTCTGTTGAATACGCATGCTTATCCTGCTGAAAACAGTGGGATGCCACGGTATGCGTGGGTATGTAAATATGTCTACCTATATACTTAATGCAGCGAGTAGCTCGAAGTCTACATAGCGAAAAGCACTGCGGAATTCGCACGGCTTTCGTCATTGTAAAACGTGCACACGATTCCTTCTAGAAAACGAATGTATTCGAACCTGTTTGCAGGCGGAACATTGGCAAGCATAGCACGGCTATTGCGAATAAATCAAAGTTCCTCTCATCTCTGCAGATGTGCGACTGCATGATGCGCTCGTGCAAAGAGATAATGTTCATCCCTCTTGATGTAACATTTCTTGATTTATGAACCAGACACGCCAGACACGGGGCTGTTCTTTCTGTGCTGCGCTGGGTTTTACATTTTTTAAAAATATTTGCTTTAAATCGACCAAACGAAATCCTTATCAATCTGTTTCGATGCGGTGTGATGACGTTGCGGGATCCCAAAGTCTTGTGAGTTAGTATTTTTGTGATGCATTTACTTAAAATAATAGGATTTTTCAGTAGCGTTAAATTTCACGCCAACATAATATATTGCATACCTATAGTCCAATAGACATAACTTTGAATATCACAATTTTTCAAGTGAATCCAATAAGTTTGAAATACTTTGCTGTTGAGTGATCGTGCTATTTCAATTCCAATTTTTCAAGATGCGATGAAAGATACGTTAGAATGTTTCCACTCCACATAAAATTTCAGTATAGCATGTATATCTAGCGGCATGAAGATTCCTCTTAGGAATAAGTATACGCAATGTACATTCAAAGAAGTATTGACATACGAAAATTGATATTTCCTATATATTCAACTTGTGAAAATTTCCAACACGTAGTCTTTCGTGTTGCGCGACTCTCCGACGCTGGTTCTAATTATTCTTAGGTGACTTAACGTCCTTAATCCAGCTGGTAATACCTGTCTGGCGTAACGTGGCTCTGCTACACCTCTTAGACTATCGCACTGTCGGCTAATTACTCAGGAAACTTCCGATTAACGCTTAGATAAATCGTGGAATTACCCTTTCAGGTGAACGGAGCTTGGAGTTTGCCTGGATTCGTGTGCGACTTCTACATCGCAATGGATGTAACCTGCAGTACAAGTTCCATCTTTAATCTGGTTGCGATATCAATAGACAGGTAAGAATTTATAAGCTACCATCACTTTATAATATTTCTTCAGCAATTAGCAAGAGAAAAAAATACTTTGGCTTCGCCATGCTACCACAAAAGATTTTCTACGTTTCTCCGGTTATCCTTCTGGCTTTATCAGAGTCGCTGAAAATATTTCTGCCTCTACGAAAGAAGTGGCTGTTGATTTTTGCGGTACGTGCTGCGAATAAGGGATCAGGACGGTTTTCGCGAAAATAAAATTTCGTAGCGCGCTGCAAAATAATAACACCGATAAAGGGGATGGAAACTTATGACGTTCTGGGACGTATCGACATGAGGACGCATTTCTCTCTTTATCGCGCATCATGGCGCTGTTTGTAAATACGTTTCTAGATAATGGCTTACACCCGCCACACCTCTTACCTACAGTCGTCATCACACCCTTTATGTGACATAGAATTATAGGCTTAACCTTAAATCGGACAATCGAGATTAATCAATCGTCCCTATGTTTATTTTATGTATTGTTTCGGATTCGCCGCGTGTTTTTTTGAGAAAGTTGTCAATTTCGTAATACGCAATACTTGAATGGAAACTTATTGGAAGATTATTAAAGGCAAACCTGTAAAAATATATATCTCGTTGAAAAAAATTGCATATGGATTATATAAAATAGATAAATAAATACAATTATATAAATTGTATGTCAAATAGATCTAATTAACAAATGAATATAGTCGGTGCATGAGATCAATGTGTTTTTTTGACAGATTGAAAACAATGAAGGTTCTAGCGAGCCACACGTGATTCCGCATACAAGTTTTGGTACGAAGTGTAAGTGTGCATGATTTTGCCCTGAAATACATTTTATTTTTTTTACTTCAGCACATGTTTCCGTGATTTTATGGAAGGTCACGTATGGTTTGTTTAGAATTCCATTGTTCGCGAACTGTCAAGAAAATATATTGAACTCTGGATTAACTGTAGGACAAAACGAGTACAGCAATCTTGGTTACACTTGAAACAAATCACAGCACTGCGTTTCTCGCTGGCCTTTTACATGTGTTTCATTCCGTATGCGATTCAGAATGCGAATGAGAATAAATCGCGTCGCGAATCAGATTAATTACGAAACGTATCGCTGAAATGCCAGAATCGGATTTAAAAAAATCCTTATAGAATAATTTGGCGATGGAATAGGTTAGGTCTAGTAAAATTTGCTTTTAAAATCTATTGTAAATTTTTATTCAAATTAGTAACGTGAACTTGTCTTTCAGTTCATGATTAGCAGTAAAACAAAATTTTTTATTTATTTTCGTTTGTTAAATTGCTTGAGAATTCCGTTTTTCTGAAAAAAGAAACAAGCCACACTTACATTTAATTATAATGAATAATTAGGTATCAAACGAAATATAAGATTAAGTTGGTATGCACCAAGTTAAGAAGTTTTTATAGTATCGGAAATTTTTATATTTAACCCTGTGTCCAAGCATCGAATATGTTCCATTTTAATTAGAGACCAAGTTCGGTTCCTATGGGCTCTAAGAACAAAGACATGCCTATGTCTATGTCTATGTCTTTTCCATTAATTGCCGAATATTGAGATATTCTAATGGATGAAGGGTAGTAAGATATTGAATAATTGGATGAATATATCAAATTTCATGGTATTTAGGTTTCATGGTAGTTAGGCTTCACGTTACTTAGGCTAGAATGGACGCATTCAGACACGGCAGCGAGTGTAAATGGTAAAGCACGAAATGTTCGTAGAACCGATTAAATAGTTATTTATTTAAGTATAGACAAGTTACTTATTGCAGTATCTAATATATGTTGAGAAGTCTAAAAAATTAATGGAGAAGCAAACGTAGGAGAGACGTAACGCTCTGCGTACCCTTATAAAAAAAGTGCGAATAGTAACTATTGAGAGCCCGATACTAACTATTGAAACTCCAGTATTAACTACTGGAAGTCAAATAATTATAGTTAAAATTTTAATAGTATCCATTGGTAATAATAACTATTGCCAATAGCGGCCTTAGAAATCTCAATAGGAATTATTGATAATGCGAACTACTAATAGTTATTATTGATATTTTAATAGTATCTACAGACAATAATTACTATTGGCCGTGTATAATAACTACCTCAATAATAACTATTGTACATTAATAGTAACTATTGGCAATAGTGGCGAAAAAGCTATTTAGTGTTCAAATAGTTTTCGTCATAGTTTTTTCAATAGTTACTATTGGTATTTTGCCGTAAGAGCGTTGTAGCAGTACTATGACGCAGTTTTTCAAGCAGGGCATTGCGTTTGATTTTTTCTTCAAATCCATTGGCGGTCACATGAAAAAAGTTACAGGACTTAAAAAGCACATTCATACCTTCCCTTGGTAAATATTAAAACAAGGATTGATTTTTTCAAACACCTGTTTTTTTTCTTATTTTTCAACAAAAATTGTATTCTTATTGCTTTCTTCGGCGTTTAGTTCACTCTAAAATATATTTAACACTAGGTTTACGGACGTTTTTTATATACCTATCTCTACGGCACCCGTCAAATTGACGGGTGAATGAAAATACGCACTTTCTTTAAAAAACAGATTTATTCAAGTTAACTCAAAATTGCACAATATTTGGCTTCACGTTTAATTAAAATATCAAGAAATAAAAAGTCCTTTAAAAAATATCATGGAAATAATAACAATAATACTAACAGGTAATCCTACTTATTGAGTACATTTTTTACAGGTATATTGCATTTTCCCTGTGCATTTTCCGCATACCACTTCTTTGCAAGATATACAACAATTGCTGCATTTATTTTTTTTGCAGTAGCCTACTTGGCAACTTTCTCGCTCTTGTAGTATTATATGTAGATGATGAAAAAGCGTCTGATCGTTGGCAAATGTTCTCCTTGTTTTCCGCACCTAATTCCTCGGCTAAACTAAACATGTATTGGTTCCTGGATATTTTGGCTCCGGTGCACTGTTTATATAGTATCCACGCGTTTATTGCTGCCAAATCTAATATGTATATTGAAAAAGATGTGAAGAGGCCATCGAAAATTGCCTGCTTTTACGCTACATTTGCGTGCCATCTGGTCAACGACGTCCACTCCGAACTTCGTTTTATTATAATATGATATAGTTTCTGGAAGACGTTTGTGGTTGTCTTCTATTTGTACACCTGTATGTCTGGTGCTTAGAAGGAGGACTTTTATGTTCGGCTTACTTTTATATACAGTAAGGATGAAATTTTCTGATTTATATAAATCTGAGGAAAGCAAAGTCATCTTATCTTTTTTTTCTTTTACGGGTTTTGGCAGTTCTCGTTTGTTTGACCGGATGGTTCAACCAACGTTGTTTTTCGCGCAAGCAATTTTTGAGCTAGCGGGATGCTTGTAAAGAAATTATCTGTTATATTTCTGCCTCGTTCTAAATATGGTTCGACTATTGCCAATGTGACAAACTCACCCAACGATTGGGTTCATCTTTCCCCAAATAAGGGAAACCGTTCACAATATATTTTGATTCCACGTCAACTGCTAACCAAAACTTGATGCCGAATTTATAAGGCTTATGCGGCACATATTGCGTAAACCTGCATCGAGCTTTCGTCGGAAATAACTGTTCATCTACTGAGATGTTTTCATGTGGCTTATAACAAGCCTGACTGTTACTTATAAATTTCCTCTTTCCTCCTCTTGCTCTTGAGCTCTTTTTGGCGATAGGAAATAAAAGTTGCGTAGCAGACCCACATAAACACTCAGGTCATGCGATCCGCTTTAGTTTACACTATCGAGGCGAGATTGAGATAACGAAATGGAAACGTAGATCATAAAGACATTGCTTTCACTCTTGTATTTCCTACTGGATTAATAATGTGGCGAACGAAGCAAAAATATAAGGATTATTTTCGAGATATTTACATGAAAGTAAATACGTTGATGCAAAACAACTCTAAATTTCAAAGCCATATACTAAGCAAACAGCCAAACATCCCCAGTCTCGCATTTGATGTAAGAAGTGGCTGTCGTGTTATTTGTTATTAGTCAAATTTCGCAGTTTCGGACTTCTGTCGCGAAACATTTTGAAGTAAAAAAAAGGCCATTAACAGTTCAAAGTGATTTATGAACGAAACCCTTTCAGTTGGTTTCCAGAAGTCATATGCCGACTCAACTTCACAAAAAGCACTTTCAACCCAACAGGAAAACCGTTGAATAAAATCTCTATTGTAAATAGTGAAATTCTAATTTTCTTTAACGTATTGATTTACGTGGAAGAGAGAATTTCTTAGCACCAATCCAAATCTTCTGTATTGAATCTAGGAATAGAACTCCGTTGATCATAATCGCCACTTGCAATTATAAGACATTGGAATTTGCCTCTTTCAACTAATTTGCAACAACAGAGTCTATATTCCACCATTGGACCGATTGTAATCAGAAAATCCCGTGGCAAAATTTCCCATTGGGAATGCTATTTGACAACGATAAAGTATGGGACATCAATCGAAAATAATTCCTTACCTTTGATAAAATTCATTGGCAATGGGATATTTTCCTACGGGAACTTATAGACTGAACAAAATCCCTAATTGTACACCGATCATTGCTCTTAAACTTAACGAGTTTACAACATCCAGGCTAATTTCCTATATTACGAAACTAAAAAAAAATTTATTGATACAAAAAATCTTTTTCTCAGAAATAAATAATTTTATTTTCACGTCTTTACGGAACAGGTAATTCCAAGAGGAAAATATGTAATTGAGTTTTAATCAAACTGAAATTAAAAACAAACAAATTATCATTTGTATCAATTTAAAAATAAATGAAAAACCACGAAATATTAATTGAGGAACACGATTTGATTATTTGAACGGAAAAAGCAGATAATCTCTTTATTCGACTAATATGGTGTTTCTGACATCTTACAATTAGTATATGCAAAAGACTACGCCATCTTTGACAAAATTTGAATTAGTCGAAAAGCTATTCAATTGAAAAAAAGTGAAGTTAA